GATCTGCTGCACCAGGGCGGCGGCGGCTATCCACCACTCCTGCAAACGCACCTCGGATGCCTCAGCGGCGCCCGATGCCCTGGAACGTGGGGCACGCAGCACAATGACGTTGAGCGAAATACCTGGCCCCCGCATGGAGACGATGAGCCTGGCCGGCTCTGCATGTAAGAACCTGCTCATGCCTTCCCTGATAGTGGGTCCAGGCATGAATTCAATATGCTGCCTGATCCACGCAGCGCACCCTTCTGCGCCTGCTGGTGAAGCCGACGAATGAAAGACTGCATGTTCCAACGCTCTGCGTTTGGTGCACCTGCGGACTCGTTTTCTAGACCCCAACTATGCAATAGACCTGCGCGGCGAAGCTGCCTGCCAGTTGCGCGATGCGCCCCAGGCAAGGCCCACTGTCATCTACTCGGTTAGCCCACGTGCTGGGGTGCAGTGCAAGCACGTTGGCCGCAGCAACCCAGAAATGAAGGCAACTGCCGACCGACTCGCATTGATTGTTGATGCGCGGCGGCAGACCATCCTGCAGGCTGATCTCAGCGCTAAGCGGCGGCCGAAGTGGCGCGCCCGAGGCCAGCGGAAACTGGGCGCGCCGCTCCACGGCCAAGATGTACAGCCACATCCACCGCAGCGCCTGCCGGCGCCATGGCAGGTCGAGCTCCGCTCGCCATCTCGGCACCGGCAATTGCAAGAGACGGCGCATGGCTGCAAGGCGCGCTGAGGCATCTACCATTTCGCCCCATACATGGTCGGAGTGTCCCCGGACATGTTCCCCATAGAAATTGATGTATACACACACATATAAATATATATATATATATATATATATATATAAACACGTGTATATATAATGTATGGTGTAGTATCTGCGCCAGGCTGTCCAGGGCCCACTGCGGGCCTTTGAGGGGGCATTTGAAAGCTCCAAGACAAGCGCTACGCACGACTTGCACGTTCTCGGCACGCATGCAGGCCAATGGTATTCGCTGGAAATTCCGCGCCGCGATGACAAGCCAAGCCGCTACCACAATGCCTGCTTCGTATCCTGCTACAGCTGAATGTAATGGCGTAGCATACAATGTTCGCGATCACTCAAGTGCACCTCCCAAGTAGCCGCGCAATCAAGCGCGCTCGCACGCTGCAGCAATGACCGCAAAGGACCACGCGGGGTCACAGATCCCCCCCCCCCCCCATCCCTGCATCCCCCCAACCGCGCCGTCGGCGCATACCCAGACGCATCGACGGGGCGACTGGGTCAGGGCCCAGTTTGGAAAGACCTGCGATAGTGGCTGGATGCCAAAAAATTCGCGCGCGCGCAACCGCATCGGCAAGTTACTCCCATTCCCACCTTTCCTGGGGGAGGGCCCTGGCATCCGCCCAGCTGGGGGGTGGGGCTGGAAACGAATCCTCGGAGATTAGGTTCTGGGGCCCCAACGGAGGGGCGGGGAACGGGTCATCCTGAATACCTTGGGGGGGCGTCTGGTATGCCCCTCCAGCATGCACTTGTATTTGCCTAAATTCATCATCCTGGCCCTGGCGGACCGCCCCGGGGCTGGGCTCGTCGTCCATGAGCGCGTCGGCGCCGTCCTCGTCGGAGCCCACCTCGACGTCCACGGCGGCCTCTGCCGCCGTCCTGCGGACGATGCCCTTGTCGAAGGCACCCTTGAGGACGCTGCCGTGGGCGCGCTTGCTGCCTAACCTGTCCGCTGCGCTTCTCAGGGCGATCTTCTCCGGGGTCTCGGCGTCCGCTGACTTGGCTGATGCCGATGCGGCCCCCCTGGCCAGGGCGCGGTCGGCGCCCCTCCGCTGCTGGCGCATCTGCACGGTCACCTGGGACAGCAGCATCTCCGCGCAGAGCTCGACGTGGCGGCCACGGCACTGGCCCCCCCGAGGTCGGCGGGACTGGCGCCGCGCCTGCGGGAGCCACTGAGCCCACTGGCGGAGGCGCGGGGGCGGCCTGCCCCGCGCGCTGCGGGGCCGCCCTGCCCCGCTGGCGGCGCCAGCGAGGCATTCGCGATGACCGCCGCGAGGGCCTGCTGGGCGGTCGCCATCTGGGTGGCGAGGCCGCTGACCTGGGCTGCGGTCGATGTTGGTCGCTTGCACGGCTGCAATGCAGGCTGCCGCGGTGGCTGTCTGGTCAGCCCCCGCTGGTACCTCCTTGGCTGGGACCTCTGCTGCCGCTGGGGCTGCTGGTACCTCCTGTGATTGAGCTGGCGGCTCATCGTCCACGTGAACGTCCTCGTCGTCGTTCTCCTCCTCACGGAGTGCGATTGCAAATCTTCTGTTTTCTGCACATCCCCGAATAGCGCCTGCGCGAGGGCGACAGCCTTCATGTATTCCTCAAGTGCTTGATCTTCCGCCCGCTGTGCATCATCACTCGAGCGCTTCCTGCTTATGTCGACGCATGCATTTTGCTGCTCTGCACGAGCTCTTGGGTCCCTGGCGTACATGATCATGTAAAGGGTGGCGGCGTAGTCCTGCTCGAGCTCGGTCGGTGATACGGGCTGAGCGTTGGCCTATCTGGTAGGCGCTCTCGATTTGCTTCTCCAGCCCATCGAGGCTTATCTTCAACTGGTCTCTGTGAGCAATGATCCCCTTTCTTCGACGTATGCATCGGCAACCATGGTCGATGTTGCATGGTTTCTTCAGGCTGTTCTGGCCTTGCAAGCGGTGGTGTGAGGTCATATCTCGCAGATGTGTCTGGTGCATGAGCGGGCATGGCACGTCTCGGGCGTGAGGTTCCTCCTTTGTCTCTGTCACGTCCAACTCGCTGAGCATTGTGGTTTTCTCGTGCGGGGCTGGCAGATCCATGGCGGCAGTGATTCCACTTCGTCCGGAAGAATATATAGATGTATGTATATGCTGTTGTCTGGCGCTCGAAGACATGATCTGCATGTCTTGCTGGAGTAGATGTCGGTCCGCTGTCATGTGCTGCATGTCCAAAATTTGGCCTGCGAACGAATGGTTTGATGACTAGACTGCGCCATCGAGCTGTCATGCTAGTCGAACAAGTCTCTGGCTGCTGCGACTCAAAGGAACGCTCTGGCGATACCCCTTTGCGCCCTCAATCGGCGGTGTCAAACTGGTTTGTTCTGCGGCGCGTGGTGGCGATCGCCCCCACTTGGGGCACGGCCGTCCAGACGCTGGAATGGTGGGTCGGCGCGTCTTACGGCAGTCCCGAAAAGCTCGCAAGTTTTTGGAAGCTGCACACAAAGTCTAGGGCCGGGACGGGAGCTGGAGGAGAAGGAGGAGGAGGACGAGGAGGAGGAGGAGGAGGGAGAGGGAGGGAGGAGGAGGCGAGGAGGAGGAGGAGGAGGAGGAGAGGGAGGAGGAGGAGGAGGGAGAGAGAGGAGGAGGAGGAGGAGGAGGAGGAGGAGGAGGAGAGGAGAAGGAGGAGGAGGAGGAGGAGAAGAGAAGGAGGAGGAGGAGGAGGAGGAGGAGGAGAGAGGAGGAGGAGGAGGAGGAGAGAGGGAGGAGGGGAGGAGGAGGAGAAGGAGGAGAAGGAGGAGGAGGAGGAGGAGGAGGAGGAGGGAAAGGAAGGAGAAGAAAAAAAGGAGAGGGAAGAGGAGGAGGAGGAGGAGGAGGAGAGGAGGAGGAGGAGGGAGGAGGAGCGAGGAGGAGGAGGAGGAGGAGTAGGAGGGAGGGAGGAGGAGGAGGAGGAGGGAGGAGGAGGAGGAGGAGGAGGAGGAGGAGGAGGAGAGGAGGAGGAGGAGGAGGAGGAGGGAGGAGAGGAGGGAGAAGAGAAGGAGGAGAAGGAAACGGAGGAGGAGGAGGAGGAGAGGAGGAGGAGGAGGAGGGGAGGAGGAGGAGGAGGAGGGAGGCGGAGGAGGAGGAGGACGAGGGGCAGAAGGGGAAGGTGTTTGGGGCTGTTTGGGGATGCAATGCTCGCCCGTCTATCGCTGGGAGGCGTGGCCCCGCGGCGCACACTGGCGGCTCACTGTCGGGTTTCGGGGGCTCCCTCCAGAGAAGTGGCGCCCCCAAGCGACCCCTGTTCGAGGACCGCAACCCACTGGAGGGGACCGAGGGTCCGCAGCTTCGAGCTTCGAGGAGCAGAAGGAGGAGGAGGAGGAGGAGGAGGAGGAGGAGGAGGAGGAGGAGGAAGGAGGAGGAAGGAGGAGGAAGGAGGAGGAGGAGGAGGAGGAGGAGGAGGAGGAGGAGGGAGGAGGGGGAGGAGGAGGAGGTGGTGTAGGTGGTATAGGAAAATGGAACAGGCTCCCTCGTACAAAGGCGAGAGGGCGCCACACATCGGCGACGCCGTCGGCGGGGGCACGCGCGATGGCGGCTACGCGACCCGCACTGCGATCCCGACTTACACAGCACCCGCAGAGCAGCGAGAGAACAAAGGCAGCCAACGCTGCAGCTTCTCCCGAAGCGCATGAAACGCTGAGGCTGCTACCAGCAGCGTAAAAATGCATTGCCTAGACCCGATTGGCGTTCAGACTGTTACGCATTCGGTATCAGACAGAGCGAGTGCCTGGACATGACCAGCGTCCAGACCGTTACGCTCACAGTTGCAGGAAGAGTGAGCGCCTGGACACGACCAGCGTCCAGACCGTTACGCTGTCCATTGCAGACAAAGTGTGATCACCAGCGAGCGCAGCCTCAGACCAACATTCGCGCCTGCGGGAAGCCGGCCTTCCGAGCGAAGAGCGCAGACTCGTAGCCCATGGACCTTGTGGTCAGCCAGCCCTGTGACGGCCGAGCCCCAGACCGCAGTGACGGCTGGGGAGCCGCGATGAATGCGCTCCACCGCCGCACCAGCTCCCCGGAGCACATGGACGCGACTGGCCGCGCCATGCGCCTTGGCCAGGCGCTGAACCTGCTCCACGACGGACCGCCATTGACGCCGTCGGAACCGTCGCCCGAGGAAGAGGAGGAGGAGGAGGAGGAGGAGGAGGAGGAGGAGGAGGAGGAGGAGGAGGAGGGAGGAGAGGAGGAGGAGGGAGGAGGAGAGGGAGAAGTAGATGGAGAAGGAGACATATCCTCCACACCCGGCCCGCCGAGAGGGAGATATGGAGCCGGGCGCGCAGGGCGTTCCCGCAGGGGTAAGGTCAGGGGGGGGGCCGCCGGGCCGCGGCCCCCTGGCCTGGAGCCGAGACGCCAGCACGCACGCCACTACGACGACGACGACGACGACGACGACGGCGGCGGCGGCGGCGGCGGCGGCGGCGGCGGCGGCGGCGGCGGCGGCGACGGCGACAGCGGCGACCGCGACGGCGGCGGCGACGGCGGCGGCGGCGGCGACGGCGGCAGCGGCGGCGACGACGACGAGCCGAAGCGCCCGCATGCCCCGCTGGCCGCCTGGCGGGGCGGCCGCTGCCTGCGCAGGCGGCCCCTGGAGGCCTCGGGCCCCCGCGGCGGCTCGAGCCTCTGGAGGCCTCGGGGCCTCGCGCGGCCCGGGGCCTCCGGGCACCTCTCGGGCACCCCTCGCCTCCGCCGCGCCTCGGCCTCCGGCAGGGGGTAGAAAGGCCACCCTCCGAGGAGGCACGCCGAGAAGCGAAGCCGTTCAGTGGACGCACCCAAAGAAGGAGTCGAGCAGGGCCAGGCTGTGCTGTCCACGCCCAGGGCCGTTTGGTTGACGCCAATCATCGGGGTCGGGGTCTTCTCTCCTCCCTTGATCCAGGGGCCACTGTTCCAGGCACCACGGTCATAAGAAAATCTGCCCTGGGTGAGGAAGGCAGTTCCGGGGAAGCAGGCTCGAGAGTAGTGGCCTCCTAGATGTGGGATCCGAGTGGATGAGGAGGAGGTCGCCAAGAATGGCTGTCACGCGCATCGGCTGCCAGAGGGCCCCTTGGAACCTGGATGTCTCCGCAGTCCGCAAGCGTCTGGAGGTCTCTGCAAGGCTCCAGAGCCCCAGAGGCTTCCGGAATCCTCCAGGGGCCCCAACAAATCGAGAACGCCCACGAGCCTCGAGCTGCTTCGAAGGCCGAAGGGGCCTCTCCCTGGGCCCGCTCCCGGCGCGCACAAGCGACGCGCGGAGGAGCGCCGGGGGGGGGCAGCGCCGCCTGGCTGCGCGCGACAAGGCTGGCACGCCCAGGGCAGCATTCGCAGGCGTGCTCGAGCGGCGCGCCGTGGAGGGGAAGAAGACGGGGACCGAGACCAAGACCGAAGGCGGAAACGTCGTGCCGACCTTGGTCACCGTCGCGATCTTGGTCAGCGTCGGTTCGTGGATCATCTTCGCGAAGCGGCGACGGCTGACATGGACCACGACCCGGATCCGCATCGACAAGGGCCCGCGACGTCTTGGTCATGGTCCCCCCGTGCTTCTTCCCACGGTGCCAGGCGGAGGCGAATTCCAGACGGGGTAAGTCCAGACGGAGCGATCGGTCTCCGCATAGATTTCCTCAGGCTGGACTTCGCCTCTCCAGAACTTCGCGGCGGCGCCCTGCGGACCGCCCCCCGGGCGCCCCGTGTGGCCCAGCGCCGCAGGCCGCCCCTAGCGGGGCGACTCCCGCACGCAGCGCCGCCTGCGGAGATCTCGAGACCGCCTTTGCCCCCGACTTCCGCGGAGCGGTCGCTACCCGGGGGGGGGGGCGTCCTGGTGACCCTGAGGCCCAAGCGTCGCAACGCTTTCACACCGGGAGTGCTCGCCCGTTTTCGCGCCCTGGGACCCTCACAGATCGATCCGCCTCGAAGGATGACGCAGAAAGCAGGGTCCCCAACCCCCGACATCGTGATTTTTCACAACGTCGACCCCGGAGGTCTGGACCACTTCCCCGGGACCAGCTTTTCGTCCTGAGTCGCTTTTGGACTGCCCCGATGCCCGGGAGGGGCCCCCGGGGGCCGACAATAGCAAAAAGAAGTTCCCGCTGCGACTTTTTTCATAACGCGAGGAGGTCTGGGCCCAGGGCCTGGGCTCCAAGTCGTGACTTCTCGAGACGTTGCCTTCGTTTCGCCATGGCGGATGTGAGGGAACGGTATAACGCTCGGGCGGGGCGGGCCGCCTGCGAAAAGCCTGCGAGCACCGGCAGGGCGCCCGCGAGCACCGGCAGGTCGCCCGCGAGCACCAGCAGGCCCCCCCCCCCCCAAGGCACGGGATCCTTCGTTACCCTTGCAAGGAAGGGGGGGGGGAACCCGACCCAAAACGCACGATCGATCGCTACTCCTGCAGGGAAAGAGGGGGGGTCCCCACCCAAACGCACAATCGATCGTAACTTTTACCAGGAGGCGGGTTGGCCTGGGTAACAGCCGTTACGCCCCAGAGGGCAAAAAACAGTCTCCTCCCCCGTATATGGAGCGAGAGGAGGGATCGAAGCGAATAGACTTTCATACTCTGGGCCGTAGCGTGCATGCTCTGGACCATAGCGTGCATGGCGGCGCCGCCACAGAACCGCCTCTGTGGCGGGGGATCGGGACATATGGTAAGCATCCCCTGCTGCGCGCTTGCCCGAGCCACGTGCGCACCACAAAAGAAACAATATGACAACCTGAGACACCCACCTCTCGCCGGAGGGAAAAAATCACGGCGGCGGCTCCTTAGGAAGTGTCAGCCCCTGGGGGCCCTCGCCGGGCCGCCAGACTGCCCAAAGACTGCTCGGGATGAAAAGCCTGTCCCGGGGACGCGGTCGAGATCCCCACAGGCCTCCGCTGCGAAAAAACGCGACGTCGGAGTTCTGGGCCTGGAGGAGGCCAGAGGGCCATCGCCCTTCGGAGACGACGTACACACCAAGTCTGCCGATGGTCATCCTCTACATCCAGAAACTTCTTCTTCCATACAAACGAATGAACTCCATCTCCACACTGCACACTCTCAGCTGCCATGCGATTCATTCAAAGGTCCCCAGGCAAGCGGGGTGCAACCCACGAGCCAACCTGCTGCAGGCAAACTCACGAGGTGAACCGTGACCTGAGAGAGCGAGAGAGAGAGAGAGAAGACACAAAAATGAGAGAGAGAGAGAGATAGAGCGAGCGCGTGAAAGATAACTTGCCTGTCTCGGCGGCGAGCCCCGGGGGGAAGCGGGGCGGGGGCAGGACACTTCTCAGAGGGCGGCGGGGCTGCTCAGAAGCCCCCTGGCCTTCTGGGAGGCCGCCTCCGTCTTCGGAGGAGGCTCAGAGAACACTGCTCAGAAGGCCCCTTTCGAGAGGCCCGCCCCCTCGGACTTCCCCGCTGGGCTCGCCGCCGACCGCGAGGCCGACCCAGCGGCAGCCGAGGTGGGGGGCGGGCGGGCGTCCTCGCCCCACTGTGTGATCGGGAGCTGCCCCTTGCAGCCCTCGGCGCCCTTGCCATACGCCTTCAGGGCGTCCTTTCGGGCACGACACGAGGGAGGAGGAGGAGGAGGAGGAAGAGGAGGAGGAGGAGGAGGAGGAGGAGGAGAAGGGAGGAGGAGGGGGAGGAGGAGGAGGAGAGGAGGAGGAGGAGGAGGAGGAGGAGGAGGAGGAGGAGGAGGAGGAGGAGGAGGAGGGAGGAGGAGGAGGCGGAGGAGGAGGAGGAGAAGGAGGAGGAGGAGGAGGAGGAGGAGGGAGGAGAAGGGAGGAGGAGGAGGAGGAAGAGGAGGCGGGATTCTCGGGAATACTCGGGAGCCTGGGGATCTGGAGGCCGCGGTATGCAGAGTGGAAGGGTCGGGAGGTCTGTTCTTAAAATCTTAACGACCCCAACCTGTCGGATAGAGAAAGATCACCCCCGGAGCCCTGGACCCCATCTTTCTGCGCCATTTTTCGAGCGGGATCGATCTGGGAGGGTCCTGGGGCCCGAAATTGAGCGAAAACGCCTGTTGTGCAAAAATTGCACAAAGCCAGGATCTTACAGAAGATCCGCCCAATCTCGATCTCCCAGGTTCCTCCCAGGGTCTATCCTGGCAGGCCGCTCCAGCCGCGCCGGGCCGTGGCGACGATAGCCTCCACAGAAAAGCTCCCGAGGCGGAGAGGTCGACGACGCCACCGACCGATGGGCGCGCGCGCGCGCGAGGCCAGTGACCGCTATGGGGAGGGCCAGAAACATGCCGATACCACTGCTCCCCGAACCTCTCCCGGGGATCACTCTGACTACCATGTCGAGGAGAATCCAGCCGTGCCGCCGAGGAATCTCCAGGACGAGCACCGGGTATCGGTGCCTCTTCCTCCTCTAAGCTTCGACGCCAGCCGTCCTTGGACAGCACCTCCAGCGACCCGTACATCATCGGGTAGTCGACGGTGCCCTCTGGGCGCTGGCGCTGTCAAGGGGCACTGGCTGGAGGCCAGGCTGGCCCGTCCCGAGCGGAGAGCAACTTATGACCGAGGGGCGTTGGGTTGGCCAAGGGGGGCCTGGTGCCACGGGCCACAAATCCTCCTTCTCCTCCTCCTTCTCCTCCCTCTTCCTCCTCCTCCTCCTCCTCCTCCTCCATTAGGAGACAAATTCTGGAAGGTCTTCGTGAGAACGAGTAAGGACTATTGAGCCCGATCAAGGAGCCATTGAGCCTGCTTGGCTATGTTAAACTGAATATTTGACCGTAGCATGCCAGACTGAACGGGATAAAATTTGATGAATCAGGACTATGCCGAATTAGGCCAGATTTCGACCACGGATCTAGCAGCGGCGATGCTGAATTTGACCTCCCAGGAGGCTGCATCATAGCCTCCAGAAGAGAAGGACTGAATAAGAAAAAGGATTGCATGAGCATAGACTCTCGGAGGTCCACGAGGCCCTCGGAACGATTGTTCGCCAAGCAGCTCGTCTGAAAGGGCCATATACAAGCCTTCCCAAGGACAGCGAGAGGTCCGCGCGATCCAAAAACGGTGGCTCGTGCTCCCTGGTCATGGTCACTGGTCATGGCTCGCGGTCTGCGTTCCTGGCTTCTTCCATTCTCCTCCACCTCAGCCGCCCCCCGCTGGCCTCCCAAAGCCATGCCCCATCGCCCCGTCCTCACCGAAAATCAGACTGCTGCAAGAAGGGCAGATGATCCCTGGAGAGAGAAGCAAGCTCCTGGCAGAGCAGACTGCGCACGCAGTGCGCCTCAACCACAGCACCTCCACCTGCCTCCACTATCAGGCGGGACTGGCAACAGATGGGAGCAGCACGCCGTAGCCTCATCCGCGACCGGCCCTCCTCCCTGAAGAGCGCATCCGGCCAGTCAGAAAGAAGCACGCACACCCAAAGACGAGCTCATTGGCGTCGCGGCCACACGCGCAGCAGCGCGGCGGAGCCAGGCGAGTGGGAGCGGCCAGTAGCGAGCGGCGCGCGCGGCGGGGGCGCGGCGGGGTGCGTGGGGGGCCCAAGTGGGGACGGCCCAGGGGGTACACCCCTGCCGAGCCACGCTGCGCGGAGCCCACCGGGGGGCGGCCGCGAGAGCGGGGACGGAGAAGGGGGCCGACAGGGGAGGGAGGGGAACAGTTGCTGCTGCTGCTGCTGCTGCTGCTGCTGCTGCTGCTGCTGCTGCTGCTGCGGCCGATGTGAGCTCAGAGGAAACAGAAGAAGATTCAGAAGAAGGCAGAGGAGGAGAATAGCAGCCACAACGGGTGGGATGAAGGAGGCGGCGGTGAACGAGTGGGCCCAGAGACGAGCACGCAAGCACAGTACGGTGAGGGCACTGGGCAGGGAACCATCGGACGAGGAATCCGGGGCCTGGAAGACGGTGGAGCTTCCGATCGCGGATTGGCCATGGGTGTCACCGCCGCCCTCATCAGGTAAGGAATACTCCAAGGTCTGAGGCCATTGGCACGTTCTTTAACCAATGGCCCCACCGCACACGCAGACGGACAGATCCACGCACGCGGCACTCGGCGTCTCTGGAATCGGGAGCGGGTCGGTGACGCGCGCGAGCGCGGAGCTCTTGCGCCCCACGGCGGCGGTCCGGGTACAGGTCGGTGAGGTCGCAGTTGGGCACGTAGACGTTGCTCCCGACGAAGCCCACAAGAGCCTTGCAAATGGCATGACCATGCTCTTCCCGAATCTCCAAAGATCTGATGTTTTCAATCTGGGCAGTTTTCCTCGATTTTGGCCCTTGGGGGCCGTTCTCGGGTCCGGGGCCATCGAAAACGGATCCGAGACGAAACCCGGTCCGCGAGGAAGGCGTCGGGACCTCTGGGTCCACGCAACGGAAAAACCACATGGGTGTATGTCAAGGGATAATGTTATTCTCCGAGCCGCTCCTGCCGCTTCCCCTCCTCACCCCCATTCTGGCTATCTCCAGCCTGCCTCCGCTTTAATCGACCCCCGTCCTGTGCCCTCTCCTCCTCCTGATATTTCTCCTCCTCCTCCTTCTCCTCCTTCTCCTCCTCTCCTCCTCATCATCACCATCCTCCGCCCTCTCCTCCTCCTCCTCCTCCTCCTCCTCATCATCATCATCATCATCATCATCACCACCACCACCATCATCATCATCATCATCATCATCACCACCACCACCACCACCACCACCACCATCACCACCAATCCCATCATCATCATCATCATCATCATCATCATCATCAGCAGCAGCAGCAGAATCAGCATCAGCATCAGCATCAGCATCAGCAGCATCATCATCAGCATCATCATCATCATCGTCATCGTCATCGTCATCACCATCATCACCATCATCATCACCCTCAGCATCAGCATCAGCATCATCATCATCATTATCATCATCATCATCATCTTCATCATCAGCAGCATCATCAGCATCATCAGCAGCAGCATCTGCACCAACACCAGCATCACCAGCAGCATCAGCATCATCATTACCATCATCATCATCATCATCGTCGTCGTCGTCATCATCGTCATCAGCAGCATCAAAGCATAATAGTTATCATCAGCAGCAGAAGCCTCAGCAGTATCATCATTATCACCATCATCATCAACACCACCACCACCACCACCACCACCATCAGCATCAGCATCATCAGCAGCACCACCACCATCATCATCAGCAGCATCATCATCGTCGTCCCCATCATCAGATCATCAACATCATCATCATAATCATCAGCAGCAGCAGCATCACCCTTATCACCATCATCATCACCACCATCATCATCATCATCATCATCGCCATCGTCATCCTCATCAGCGGCAGAATCCCCATCACTGCGTGTCAACATCGTCGGCATCGTCCTAGTAAGCATCAGAATCGTCATGATCGTCAACATCAGCAGCATCATCATCAACACTACCATCAGCATCATCACCATCATCATTACCATGATCACATGCCCTCGTCAGCACCATACTTCCCATCGTCATCAACATCATCATCCATCATGGGAATGATCATCATCATCAGCAGCAGCATCAGCATCAGCATCATCACCATCATTACAATCGTCATCAGCCGCGCCATCATCATCGTCGGCAGCATCGTAATAATGACTATGGTCACCATCCCCATCATCATCGTCATGCTCAGCATCAGCATCATCATCATCATCATCAGCATCATCATCATCATTATCATCATCATCATCATCATCATCATCATCATCATCATCGTCGTCAGCGTCATCATCATGCTCATCAGCATCATCAGCATCATCATCGTCATTAACATAATCAGCATCACCACCATCTTCATCCAGCTCCTCATCCTGTATACTCCTCTACGACCTGGCCATCCACCGACCCCATTGGGGTACTGGTGTGTCAGACTGGATCCCTCCTCCTATTGCTCCTCCTCCTCATCATCATCATCATCGCCAGCATCGCCATTATCACCACCATCATCACCATCACCGCCAGATGCACCGTAATCACCATCACCAACATCAACATCATCATCAGCATCATCAGCATCATCAGCGTCAGCATTATCATCATCTTCAGAATCACCATCATCGTCAGAACAATCAGCATGGGCATCAGCATGATGATCGTCATCATCACCATCATCATCATCAATATCATCATCTGTACCCCCATATTCTTCAGCATCGTTACCACCATCGTTATCATCGCCATCATCCCCACATCATCACCATTCGCATCATGAGCATAATCATCAAGCCCACCACCATCAGTTTAACCATGACCACCACCACCATCGCTCATTCGCATCACAGCATCATCATCATCGCCACCGCCACCATCGCCATCACCATCATCATCAGCATCGTCATCATCATCAGTATCGTCGTCATCACCCTCAACATCCATGATCAGCAGCAGTAGCATCAGCATCATCATCCAGCGCATCCTCCTCCTCCTTCTCTTCCTCCCCCCTTGCCCCGACCAGTACACCAAATGACTGTTCTGGCACAGCACTGTATATGGCACGAGACTGCGAGGGCCCATGAGCCAGCCGCGCAACCGACGCAACGACCATTGGCACCGTCCGCAAAACGTGTAGGGACCCCATTTAGCAAACACAAGCGAAGCAAAAACACGGCCGTGCCATGCGGCCTAGCAACGGTGAACCGACGACAGCATGCGATGAGACAGCGGACATGGCACGGCAGATTGGCGCAGGGTCAGCCAGGCGAGCACACACGCAAAACACCAAAGACGTGCCGTCGGGCCGTGCGACGGCGAAACAAAGCAAGCAAGCGATGAGCCATGAGGCAATCAAAGTGGCATGGCGTGTCGATGCAGGCTCAGCCCAAACGAGCGCAGCAGGCAGAACACCAGAAGACGCACCGACTGGCACCGAGCCAAAACGCACGGGGTTAGAATCGACTGCATTAGCCAAAATGGCCACCATGGACCATAGGCCCTTCGGCCTCACAAGCGCTGCAGCCAGGGTCGCGGACCGTACGCCAGCTCGGGGCCATGCTGCGAGCTCCAGGAACCCTAGACCCAAACGAAGTGTGTTTCTGTTGGCTTCCGCAAGCGGAGCTACCCTCGTTATGTCTCCGCCAGCTTGAGCAAACCTTCCGCCATCTTCCGCCGAGGAGGAGATGTCGGCTTCTTCGCCCATCGAAGGCGAGGCAGATTCTGGAACGCCCCATGCGTGCGCGCACCGCAGGCGTCGTTCAGGGACCCCGTCCCTGCCATCCACCGATCTGAGTCCCAACTATCCTGTGTTGTAGAGGCCTCATTTTGAATCGGCAGCGCCCAGCGTTTCTCACCTCGAATCCTCCTCCCCTCCCTCCCCCCATCGTGCACATCCTGATCAGCATCATCACCGTCATCCACAACAACATCAGTATCATCACCGTTGTTGTTGCCATCATGGTGGTGTTGGCCGTCGCGGGCGTCGTCATCGCCAGCGTCATCATCAGCAGCATCATCATCAGAATCATCTACATCAGCATCATCATCAGCATCATCATCCTACTCAGTAACATCAGCATGATCGTCAGCATCAGCATCAGCATCGGCATCACCATCATCATTAGAATCAGCATCGTCATCACCATCATCATCAGCAGCATCATCATCACTATCATCGTCAGCATCATCAGTATCACCATCATCATCAGTATCATTTGCAACATCCTCATCATCATCAGCAGCCGCATCATCATTATCAGCATCATGACTATTATTATTATTATTTTTATCAACATCATCATCATCATCATCATCATCATCATCATCATCATCATCATCATCATCATCATTGGCGACATCCTCATAATCACCAGTGTCATCATCATCAACAGCATCATCACAATCATCATCGACATCAGCATCAGCAGCATCATCATCATCATCATCATCGTCATTATCATCATCGTCGTTACCAGCATGACCAACATAATCATCATCACCAGCAGCATGACCAACATCCTTTTTATCGGCATCATCATAAGCATCAGCAGTACCACCATCATCAGGTCATCACCAACAATCCCATGACCATCATCATAATCAGTATCGACATCACCATCGTCGTCGTCATCATAATTATTATCAGCAGCAGCATCATCATCATCCGTAGTATCGTCATCATCATCAGCAGCAGCATGAGCATCAGCATCAGCATCATCGTCACTGGTATCATCACTATCACCATATCAACAACATCCTGATCATCATCCTCATCACCCTCGTTTGCATTTTCACCCGCACCGGCAACCCAATCATCATCAGCATCGTCATCATCCTCAACAGCATTACCATGATCGTCAGCATAGTCATCCGTAGCAGCAACCTCCTGATAGTCCTCATGTCCATGGTCAGCATCATCATCATCATCAGCATCATCATCAGCGGCATCATCAGCAGCATCCGCATCATCAATATCAGCAGCATTA